AGCCTGGACGTGCCACTAAAGATGCTCCTAGCCCCTCCATGTCCTTAGTCTCCTAACCTTACCCATCCCTACTGAATGCACCCTTGCTTCTGAATTCCCCCACACAGTGTAGACTTAGAAGTGGGGGAAGGAGCTATAAGATCCTGGAATCACTCGAAGGGTGCCAGGAGAGGGTGGTTGAGTAACTGCCCTTGTTGCTCAGCTTTCTGGTAAGCCCCATTCCCCCTTTATTATTATCAGGCCTCCTACCCTCTCCCGTGCCTGCTGACTCCCCCAGCGCCCACAGTACCCCCTTCTTACTGCAGACATCCCTCATTCTTCTCGATGGGAGCCTGACAGCTGGGACAGCGCTTAGAGATGAGCTTGGCCAGGTGCTTGCTCTGGGCCTCCACACTCATGCCATCATAGTAGCCGCCATCATCGACCCACTGAGACATATGGCCACAGCTGGCAGGGTAGTGTGCCTAGAATAGGAGGAGGTGGTGAGTACACAGCCCAGCCTTTACTGAGGGCAGCCCTGCTGGTATGTGTGGGAGAGAGGGAGGGAGGGAGGGATGGAGGGAGATCCATTTGGAGGACTACAGGAACTCTACTGGCAGAGGATGAGGATAAGGCAGAATCTGTGCGTGTGTGGAAGGGTGGGGTGCTGAGTAGGGAGGGGTATGGAGCCTGGCTTAGTATCAGGGCTGGGGTGGGCACCCACCTCAGGGAAGCTACAGTTGAAACAGGATGCCCAGCCACACTTGGAGCAGGTGGTCCCACAGCCCAGGCCCTGGCGACATAAAATGCGATCGCAGCCCTGGGGGTTGGTGCACCAGGTCAGGTTGGAGCAGCTTTCCACGTAGCCACGCAGGAGGGCCTTCTCGTACTATGGGGACGCAGGTTCCACCAGGTGAGGGCCTGGATCTCCAGGATGCCACACCTCCAGGACCCCCAGCACCCCGCATGTCAGCCCATTCCCTGGAGCCATCCCCTCTTGCTATGCACTGGAGCCTCTTTCAGGGGAGGGGATACCTTAGAGATGACCTCTGGCGAGGAGACGATGGCACGAATGAAGGCTCCAGTGGGCTGCGCAGGGCAGTCGGCAATGGGGCAGGTGCAATTCAGCACAAGGTTCTGTTCGATTCGCGTTGTCAGATATTCATTCCAGCAAGACTGGGAGTGAAAAGGAGGGGCTGCTAAGGGACAGTGTGAGGGCAGCACAAGATGGTGTCCTAGTCACTAATCTAGCAGTTTCCCCGACGATGCAGAAGGCCAGAGACAAGCCTGCTTCTAGATCAATTTCAAAAGTGACACTAATCTTCCTGGCTTCCAAGGATTTTCCCAGCATTAGCCCAAATTACAGTTTTCTTTGAGGATGTGTGGGCCAGGATAGCAGCCTCATTATAATTATTATTGGGATGGATTGGGAGGGAATGAGTAAAGAGAATTGAAGAAGAAGAAAGAAGGGAGAAGGAGGAGGAAGAGGAGGAGGAGGAGGCAGAAGAGGAGGAAGAGGAGGAGGAGGAGGAGAAGAAAGATTCAAGATGTAAGAAAGAACTGGAGAGAACAAGAAGGCCAGAGATAGAAGGTCTGAGAGGTGGGTCCTCTTCTCCTCACCGAGTGGCTGGCCTTGGAAACTGCAAACACAGCTGTGGCCTCTCCTC